CCAGACAAATACCTCACGGCGCTCTTCACACCATCTCACTCACCCTAACCCGGATCGAGCTTAGAGAAGTATCAGCACCAAACCCCGTGTAACACATAGCATTTATACGATCAGCTACGCTAAATCGTAAGTAATAGAGGCTTAGCACTAAATTACTCTAGGATTTTCTTAATCTCTAATAGATAAGATAGGCGATACGTGCTAAGCTGTGATAGAAGCTAAAGGCGGCTATACTAAATATTAACTAGCGTTGTGTTTCTATCTAAAACTGTCTTAGTTTGTATTTTCATCTCAAAGTAAAGTAGATTAGCCTAACTAATAGATCTCTTGCTAGTGCTTATGCACATGAATTCTGCCATGTACCACAGTACACACAGACAGTATGTGTGGACATCTATCATTGTGCAGTCTAACAACAATATCCTTTCAACGGCTGTTCCTGCCATCTCCCACCTTCTGCCACCCCCGCATCTCCTCACCTCCCTCTGTATCCTCGACAAAAATACCATAGTCAACCATTGTCTTCTTGCTTCCTTTGCGTCCATACAACTCCTTCTCTAGCGCCTCCGTATCCGCCCTTACAAGCTGCTTCTCACAATACCCCGTACGCTGCCTTGCCGCTCTCGCCATTGCAAACGCTGCACGTAGAGGCGTCAAACTGTATCCCATCTGCACGAGTGTACTACCGTGCTGCGAATCCAGCCACAGTATGTACATGCTTACCACCCAGACTGAAGTCACAAAGACAAAGAGTCCGCATAGCAGTGTTGCGAAACCCCACTTGTACGATGGATGCGCAGTGTTGGGCAGACAGCGCGACTTTCCCTCGAGATAAGTCTCGTCATAAGCAACAGACTGGTAGCAGTAGCCGAAGCTAGTGACGAGGTCCTGTGCGTCGTAGGTTTTATCCTTGATAGTTACAGGCACAGTCGAGTTGCACGAGTAGGTTTTGCGTGAGTTGAGGTCGGGGAAGTTCACGTCTTCCCATGTCTGTGTGTTGGACGTGAAGTTGTAGACACCTGGTGTTATGCAGTTAGCGGTGCTGACAAGGTGCTGTAGATGGGGGGGGGTGTGCTTCAACTTACAGCCCAAGCTCATGATTTGGACGAGCTGACTAGTGAGCTTCATGCTCTGGATTTCTTGAGCAGAGTACCTTGTTCCATTGGGAATCTGACAGTCACCTACAACAAACAACTTGTTAGCGCCTCCCCCTGTCACTGAACCAACTCATCTTGCATCAGACCCATACTTACACATTTCGAACCGCCGATTCACAACCCACGAATACGTGTCTTTCACCTGCGTATCTACACACGCTGGCTGCGCGAACGTCTCATTCACCGTCCCCTTGACCATCCACGTGTTCTTCACCGACGTTGCGGGAACAAGATTATTTTCCAGGCCCTCGATATCAACCCACGCTATAGCCGTAGCATCGTATCCCGTCATGGCCCCAATCACAGTCGGTAAGGTAACAATGTATGCCGTAGACAACATCATGTAGAAAAACAAGGCCTTGGTCCTCTTACTCTTGGCCGTCCACAACTCAGCCACCAGCGTCCCAATCGACTTCAACTTGGGCCCCTCGAGCGCTATCCGCTGCAACGTAATAAACGACGCGGGATGCCGCTCAATCGACTTGAGCAGCGCATTACAAAAGACGATATACGCCGCCCACGACGCCAGCAGCTGCAGACCGCGTCCGATGCCAGTGTCCCACGCAACGTCGATGGCCTTGACCTGCGAGAACGTGTACTGCCCAAACGTCATGTCGAGCGCGAACACCTTTTCCATACCCGTGATTGTTGAGTTTGCGGGGCGTCCGCCGATGCTGCCGCCGCAGTTTATCACTTTGTCGCGGAAGATGGAGGAAAAGGGGGCCCGGCCTGCGTACGGTGGGGATGTAGCTTCTCCCAAGATGATGAGCGGGACGACTGCTGTGCCGAGAACGAGCACGAAGGCCAAGATGTGATTTCTTGTCTTCCAGGTCCATTTCCACTTGGAGGATTTGGTGCCGTCGTTCACTGTCTTTTCTTGAGGCCTGTACATGGCATCGTTGGGGACGAGGTTTTCGGTTGATGGAACGGATGCGATGACGAGTCTCTCCTTCTCTTTCTTACCCACACTGTCACTACTGCTTGCATCCATGATGTCTGTTTGTGTGCGTGGGGGGGGGGGTTTGTTGACTTGACGATAAGCCCAAAAAACACCAAATCAATGTTAAACTTCAAAAGTGATAAAGAATAAAACACACAGAAATAAATAGGGGAGACATCAAAGTTATATATATATAGGTACCTAGTTTCTACATACAGGAAACCCCCCCACCCCACAATCCCCCAGTGCAGGACGCCTGAAAAGCAAAAGCGGAAAATTGTCTTGGTATACACAACTAACTAGCAGCATGTCACTTTTTCCCCCCCTAACGGGCCGAAGGTTTAAACGGAATCCAAATCTCCCCTCCTCCTCGATGTAGTTAATCTACGCTTTCGATTTTTTTTCTAGAAGAAAACAAAGATGTCTGTGTAACCTTTAGTTACATACTGACCTTGTAATGTACACATGTACACGTCACTTTCGAGCTCCCTCCCCCAATTACACACACACACACATATATATATATATATATACCTTGCCCAATCCAATCAGACGCCGGTTGCAAGAATGAGAAAATAGATAAGAGAGAGAAAGAAAGCAGTACCTCAATTACCGAACTCACTGTGTACAAGCCTTGGCATTGCAAAAGAAAGGTTAAAATCTTACATCTTTGGAGTGAGTGAGTGTGTGTGGGGGGGGAGGGCTAGGGATGAGGCTGAGTATACGGCACTAGTGCTGGAAAACGGCTTAGGCCCAGGAACATGGACCCCTTAATGCTGGGGTGATCCTGGCTCCCCTCAGCTCTCTTCAGCTGCCCTCGAGATTAAGTCCCAACTACATTTGGCAATGAAAACGCCAACCGCAGCAAAAAAAAGGCCAGATCCATGTGGCGCAGGAGATGAATGCAAGACCGTTATCACTCAATAGCGTCTGTGCTTCCAATCTGAAAAGCGGATTCCATGTCCTTGTCTAACGTTCCAGGCATATATTGACCGAAAATATATGTACAAAGTGCCATCAAACGTTCAAAGCTTTCCTTCTCGGCAACCTCAGCTCTGAACAGGAGTCCCACTGCGGCTGACCGCATTGCCAGAGCTGTTTCGAGCAAGCGGCGTTGCACTCCGACTTCGCTCCCTCTCTCGCTCCCGCTCTTCCGTCTTGACACGTTCTCGCGCCTCTTCAACCAGTCGCTTAGCTTCTCTCACGTTACGCATCGTTCTGCTGAGCTTGCCCTCTTTACCTTCTTGAAGCTTCTGCAGCTCGCCTCGTGCCTCAATGTCCTCTTTGGTCTTAGTAACGAAGCTCTTCAGACTAACCTTGATGTTTTGGCGGAGATCTTGGCCTTCGTCAAAAATCGCGTCACTATCACGGATCGACTTGACATTCTCAACGCGTCGGGTAAGGTAGAGAGTCGGACGGCGGTTTGCGTTGTTATGCTGATCACGACGCTGTGCAATGATGCGCTGGACCTCTTCTTCATAAGCCGCTTCGTAGACATTGATATCCACATTAGACGGAGATTCGGAAACTACACATCCGTCTTCAGGCGCCGGCTGAAAGTTCTCCCCAGTTCCAATATTGAGGAAGAGCGTATCCTCCAACGGGTTATGCGCCTGTCCTTTGCCAATGGGCGTGGTTGGTGAAGATGCCGACGGAATGGTTCCTGTTGGACTGGACATGGATTGAATTGGACCGGGTCGGATCGCCAGATTTTCGCGTGAAACTTTTCCATCTGAAAAACTTGGAGAGACTTGCCTAGTCGGACTGCTGGTGGCAGAGAGTCTACTGGGGCGCTTTCCTGCTTCTGTACGGAAACCAGGTTTGAAATATGCCATGTCGTCCATGTTGTTCGGTATTCTTTGTCCTTTTTCATCAACCTTGATAGAATGGTGCACGCCCTCTGCAGAAAGTGCAGCCTCAACTGGCCGTCGATCATGCGTGTCCTGTGATTTTGACTTGCGCAACGCTGATGGCCGCATGGATAAGGGAGGCTGTACAATGCGCGAGGCACTTCCTAGTATACTTTCTATCCGGTCTGGCCGTCGCCTAAACAACAATTGCTTGAAGCGCTTTACTGCACGTACCTGTCTGTTGTTAGCTTGGGATGGATGTAAGAATTGCACGGATGCAAAGGGAAGACATGCACCTACCACTGTCACAAGGTGGCCCATGTTGCCGGTAATAGCAGCGTTGACTTCCTCGTCTGTAGGTGGTTCAATAATCACAGCAACATTCTCAGACTTTGCTAATAAAGGGTCCGTTCCGTTTCGTGTGACCCATGGATGTTCCTGCAGGTGTCAGCTCTGATGTCATGGTATTGAGCGTTCCAACTCACCCTGATTTCCTCCATGGTTATCCTCTTCTTTGGATCTTTTTCCATAAGCCTTGTTAGCAAATCTTTGATGTCGTCGCCGCATCCTGTTTCAAACTCTAGTGGGTCCATTCGTATCGATTGGTATAGCTCAATCATGCCGCGTTTTTCAAAGGGTATTCGCCCAAACAGGAGACAGTATAGGGTGCATCCCATTGACCATATATCTGCAGCTCTTCCTGAGACCTGGCCGTGCTTGGCTACGCACAGTTCTGGTGGCATAAAAGCAGGTGAGCCAGCAGATTTGGCTGTCTTCATCTCGCCATCTTTGTCGAACATTTCCGAAACACCAAAGTCGACAATTTTCAGCACGTCTTCTTCGGTGACCAGGCAATTATCAGGCTTGATGTCTCGATGGATGATGCCCTGGGCATGTACTGGCAGCGGTTAGCGCTAGACGGGAGCACATGGTAGACCAGACGAACGGTACTCTAAACCCAATATCATATCTCTGAACCAACACCGACATTGCTCCTCACTGTAGGGGTCGGCACGCTCCTCGAGGCCGACTTGCATAACAACACCCTTCTTGCACATCTCCATGACCATGTAGAGCGAATCCTCTTCAGGGTCGTCGAGCACTTCGATCAATGTGACGAGGTTCGGATGGTGCAGCTTCTTCATGATGGCAATCTCTTCCTTGATGAGTTCAAAGGCATTGTTTTCTTCGGTTGTCGAATGTCGGTGGAGCGGAGAATTGAAGCCTATGCCGGCTGGCAGCGCGCGTATTCGTTTACTCGCGGCTGGCCGGCGGAGGAGGTTGGATTGTGCCCGTTTTCGCAATCGCGATTTTGAGAACTCCTTGACAGCCTACGCCATGTGTCGTCAGCTACAGTCATTGTGTGAACCGCCCAGGTTACCCGCATCGTTGTATCAGGCATTGCGCCTCTCCCCCATGGCCAGCGGTGTCTAGAGAGCTGGTATCCTCACATATTCTTGACCATACTGGTCTACAGCGAGGTGAACAGCACCAAATGAGCCGCGGCCAATCTCCTGCTTCACCAAGTATTGGTTGATGCGATGTTGGGCGCTGCCGTCATCTTCGCTGTTGCTGTATTCGGACCGCGCATTCAGCGTTTCCTGCAGCCCGTTAGGCTCTAGACATGACAAAATTTATTGGTTGGCTTCTCGGGGTAAATGCTGGCAGCCGTTGGAGTGCAGAAGCTGGTGCCAAGTTCGGGTAGCTTCGCCAGCGCCTGCATCAGGCCTATGACGTGATGGAGAGCCGATTGGACAGGCGGCGGACGGTGCACTCGAGCGGGACTCAGCTGGGGGGAGGGAATCGCACCTTTACACGTCTGGTGGATGAGGCTGCGCGCGTGTGGTGTCGTAGCGGGCTCTGGTATGCGGGCGTTGACCTTGACGGCATCAGCATCTTGGTGGGGTAACGGGTGGGAAAGGCAGCCCGGCCGGCAGCAACACACACATGTACTTGACTGGCGGAGGTCGGCCGGCGTCGCTGAGGGCGGGAACGGCGAGGGCAGGTTGTGAAGTGTAGAGCTTGAGGTCGGGTTCGGATGGGCGTTTGCTCAGCGGGCCGGGCGAATGGGACATGACTACACAGGGCGAGGGCCAGCCAGGGGGAAAGATTATGTCGTCCAGGTGCAGGAGCAGTAGTACGGAGAGTTGAGATTGAAACTGGGGGCGGGCTGGCAGATAGCAAGCCGCAGGTCGCAGGAGAAATAATATGGGGAAACCCGGGACGGCCAGCCCGCAGCAGAGAGGGGCCCTTTCTCTCGCTGTGCACGTCGTTCAGCCTCATCAGCCCGTCGTCGAGCAATCACTCACCACCCTCGTCCCCACGCCCGCTATTACCTGCCATTAGGCCCAGGCCCACCCGCCCGCTTCCCTTGGCGGCATCCTCCCCGACTCGCTCCGTCGCGCCTTTGGCATTTGCGTCTTGATTGCCAGCTATCGTGTCTGATTGTCCAGAACCCATTGGCGCCGGCTGCACCCTCCGAATCGTCGCTTCTATAGTACATCGACCACACCCAACCCCGCATCCCTCGCAAAGCACCCTCACCTGCTGCAGCCTGCCGACGCCTGGCGTCTCCTGATTCCCGATCGCAATGGTCCTCTACAGCTTCTACATATTCGATCGGCACAGTAAGTCGCCATCGTGGCCCGGCCATCGCAGCCCATGACAAGCCCGCCGTGCACGCTGCTGACCGCACAATCGCAGCCGAGTGCATCTACTCGCGCCGCTGGACTCCTGCACGCCCAACCTCGTCCTCGTCCAAACCCACCACCGCTGCTGCTGCTGCTGCTGCTGCCGCGGCCCGCCCGACCTCTGGCAACTCGATTGTAAGCAATGGCGACGTTGTGGCTGCCGTCCGCAAGGGCATGTCGCACTCGGACGACGAGAAGCTGGTCTTTGGCCTCGTCTTCTCCCTCCGCAATTTTGTCACCAAGCTCGGCGGCGCCGACGATACCTTTCTCTCTTACCGCACCGGCGAATACAAGCTCCACTACTACGAGACACCCACGCGCATGAAGTTTGTCATGCTCACCGACACAAAGGTCATCAACTTGCGCCAGTACCTGCACCAGATCTGGGCCAACCTCTACGTCGAGTATGTTGTCAAGAACCCGCTAGCCCCCGTCGAGCACCCCGGGGGCATTGGAGTTGCCAATGAGTTGTTTGAGCGGGGTTTAGATGCCTTTATCACCGCTGTCTTGC